CAGTGTCTGAGCTTCATCACAAGATGACCCTAGCATAAAGTAGAGACAGTTTCTCCACGTTATCCTTTGCATATAGTAGCTGCTTCGCCACCTTTACTGCAAGCATTTGAACAACGTACCCCAACCGTCGTAACTGTGACTTCTCACTCCGCAAAAGCAGCTATCGTGCACCGAGGCTCTGTCGAATGCCCAAACTCCAGATCAAGTCCGGACGTCTTTTCACCAGGGAACAGAACATACTCTGGCAATAAAGAGAGTACTTTTAGAAACTCCTTAATCTCAGGCAGGCAAACACATGAAGACTTGTTTGTACAACGGGCAACGGATATTAGTCATTCTGTGGACGAAGAGTACACAAGCTGTAGAAAGCATCAAAAGTAGTAAACTGCTGGAATCTACGATGTTCAAAGCATTAGGCGAACAACGCACGTTCTGGCTTATATGTGTCTGTCACACCGCAATGGCTATGAGGCAGGCAATAGCGGACTGGAGAACGGGGGTTGTCGCATCCTTTTCAAAAATGGAGACTTTGGGGAGTGTTCTAATTATCAAGGCATAGCTATATTGAGTCTTCCGGATAATATCTACTTCAAACTGCTACAAAAGATGTGCCAAGGAGCAGTAGACTAACATTTAAGAGTGGTAGTGAGGCTTCAGGTCAGGCTGAAGCACCTCTGAGCAAATCTTTGACTCATACCAGATTGTTGAGAAATCGTCGGAGCTCACTCAGTCGCCTCACATGTCTATCGTTAACGCTTATCTTACGTGCATCCAGAATCAAAGACAAAACAGACGGCTCTGATAAACCGAAAGCCGGAATGGCACAGAATGATTTGGGGCTAGTTCCCGATGCATTCTCACTTAGTCTTAAGTTATCTTTTACCGAAGTTCAAACGCTAGCGTTGAGTCCGGGACGTTGCAGATTCTCTCTGACGCGTCTACGTCACTAAAGGATAAAACGATCATCGAGCATGACTGACTGACCAACTGACCGACCGACCGACTGACTGTACTTCCCGTACTCGGGATAGTGTATTTTGTGTTGATCTGTGACTCATAACCTGAAGTGGGTGTCGGAGCACAGTCTATTCGAAGTAGATGGATCATCGGATTTGTTTCGATTATGTTCAGCGCTATGCCGATTTCGGTCAACCGTCAATTAGGTGAAAGCGCTTATAAACCGTAAGGGGGAATAGAGGTACAGCGCGTCTCGAAAGTTGTGAACCGGTCACAAATGATACTGTAGTTATGTCTGGTGAATCAATGGCTCGATGATCCTATAACTCTGTTGGTAGCACCGAAGGAAGTTTGTTTTACTTCCATGCCTTTTGTTTGTGACATGAAAAAGTTGTTTGCTGAAGCGAGGCATTTAAACTCGGCGAATTTTTTTAACAGAACCAATTTGTATACGCTGATCTTTGCATCTACACGTGATACCTGCTTTCGACAGAAAAAAGACTTTTTTTAGCATGACCCTGCCACATAGTCTTGGTTATGCATAGAAACCAGATTGTTGCATGGTTGTTCCCGTTCAAGCAATCATAACAGTTGTTCTGAACATTCTCAGTTACATAATCACCTGCTCTCACAAAATTCCGACCCAGGCACCTCATCGTGGTGTGGGAATGACAACGGCCAGAACATCGAAACATACGGCGGGGTACTGCCCTACGTGCCCTGGCAGCTACTAGCAAGGCCACATAACGCAGCACCGCATCTCTGGCCGGCTAAGCACTGGCGGTATTACGGGCAGCAAGAATCAACGAATGGTAAATTAGCACGTCAAACAATCATGAACAGAAGAAGGAAAGGATATGGGCCCCAGTAGCCTGTTCGCCCTTGGGATTGGCCTCTGACGGCCGGCCAGCAATCGAAGGACGAGGGGCTGATGAAAATCTCAGGATGCCCTAGGCCGCCAAGAAGAATAATAAATGCACCTACAATTGCAAGCCGCTGTCAATGGATGAACACATCAACCATCTCCTCTAAAAGATGAATAGAACGGGTTGCGATGCCCTCAACGCGACCTTGAGGCTGGCAACACGATTCTTTTGAGCAGAGGAGAATGACAGAGGAACATAGGTGGAATCGGGTTTATGGTGAACAAGAAGTGGTCCTATGAATCCTTTCCTGCCGCTTTCGTTCCCCGAGAGTTCGTGTGCTTCTTCTACGGCTGGATTCAAACAAGACGCTCAGAATCGTTCAAGTCTATGCCCCTACTACGGCCAGTGATGACGACGAAGTTGAAGAATTCTATGCGGAGCTCGAATCAACTCTCACCATCAAGTCTATCTATACGAGGGTGATGGGCGACATCAACGCAAAACTTGGTCAAGGTGGGAAAGCCGGAGAGAAGCACATTGGCAGATTCGGTATAGGAAAGCGAACCAACAGGAGTGAGAGAATGGTATCGATGACAGAATCCGACAAACTGTTCGTTGGTAGCACCTGGTTCCGGAAGAAAGTTGGACGCAGATGGACATGGATTACACCAAACGCAGTAGCGAAAAACGAAATCGACTATAATTTGGTCGATAGACAGTGCATCTTGAAGCCGTAATACCCTCGTTCAACACAGGAAACAATTGCCGCATGTTGTGGACAAGAATACACATAAGTTCGGCTGTCGTACGAAGGGTATGAGTCGTATGAACGTAGAAGTTCCACGGAGATGGACGAACCTGAGATGGAGCAGCAAGTCGGAACTGCCTACTGGGCTCTGACGGCGAGCATTGAACCAGATTACCGAAATTTCACTGAGAGGCTTCTTTGGTGAACGATGGTCTCAAAGGTGACAAAACAACTGCTAGAGAAGGGAAGAACCTCAAAGCAAGAAAACATCAAAAATGTAGAGTAGAATCTTTTCTGCAAGGCAATTCGTAAGAAGCTGAAGGAGGATCTCGAAGACTACAGTCATTTCTAAAGAAATCAAAGCCTAAAGAAATACAGAAGGAAAATGCCGTTCTAGCACAAGCGCTGAAAAATGAGGATGTTAGTCGAATCACAGATCGAATAGATATGAAAGAACTATGTGGAAAATTCTACACGAAACTTTTTGAGTCATGTGCCGACGTGCCAACACCAGAAATTAGCACTATAGACAACCAGCTTACTCTAAACCAGCTGCTAGAGCGTACAATGGAGCATAAATTACATACATTACCCTTGGGTCTCGTATTCCTCGATTACGAGAAGCCATTCGATGGCACGGAAGTCAACGCTGTCATTCCGTAAGCTTTTATGGAAGACGGAATCAACGAGACCTATGTCGGAATCATCAAAGAAGTGAATGCAGGATACTCGACCGAAATAACGCTTTTCCCAAACCCAATTCGTTTACCAGTGGAGAAGGGCGTGAGACAGGGTGATCCCTTATCACCATGCTGTTTATTGCCTGCCTAGAGATGGTGTTCCGCGAATTGAACTTGAAGGGCCGTCTTAACATCAACGGCGAACAGCTGAATCATCCTCAGTTTGTAGACGACATAGTACGGATCGCAGAAGATGCTCGAGAAATGAAGGAGATGCTACAAGAGCTCAGCGAACGAAGTAACGAAGTAGGTCTTAAAATCAATGCAGCGTAAACGAAGGCAATGCAAAGTGTCGGCATGCCCAAGGCAAATTTACAGGTAGACGGCACGGATTTGGAAGAAGTCAATAACTATGTCTACTTGGGCCAAGAATTGAATATGCGTTATGATCTCCTACGGGAGATTATACGTCGAAGGGCTGTAGTTATCATGTATCTATAGCATCATCCATGTCCTCCAAGTATAAGACCACCAAGACCGTGCTGGCTGTGTCGGAGATAGCAATGGAACAAAGGATGCTTAGAACGTCTCTACGTGACCGTATCGGCAACAAGACTTTCAGATAAATGAGGGGCGTGCAAGATATCCTGCTAGCCATGAGAAAGTAAAATCCGAAAGCCAGACCAATCGCATGTCCTCATGACAACCAAGGAGCGGTGGAGCTCACGCGCTGTCGAATGGTATCCGATGGAAAGAAAACGACAACTCGGATGACCTCCGATGAGGTAGCGGATGTACGTGGAAGAAACAGCGTGAAGGAGCTGGATACAAACTGCATGGGACAGAATGGTCTGTCTGTCCGAGATTGTGCTGGGAATGTGGGAACATTTAAGAATTCATGATGAAGCCTGAGCAAGCTTAAAATCTTGAAATAATCACCTGCAAAAACAGCCAATATTCAAAACATATATCTTTACCATTATCAGCCTTTTACAGTTTTGCTGAATGAAGGCATCCGCAAGATTTTGCCGCAAATTTCTGTTTTCCGCGGTTTGTGACCTCTTGGTCCCGTGAAGTTGTTTACCTAGTCTTGCCATCGATCTGAAGGTCTTCTTACGCATCGTTTATTCTTTCCTGGAATCCAATCTAGTATTATTCCGGTCCAACGATGGTCAGCTTTTCTTGCAACTTGCCTTGTTGACAGGTTAACTTCTTCCGTTGGGAAAAGACACCGCGTATCTTGTTTGCATCCTTGTCCATTCATTCGTATTTGTCATATTCTTCACATTCCTATCCTCCTATGTCTTTTCATTCTGCTTCGTGCAGTCTGGTGTCTACGAACAGCTTTCAGGTGTTAGGTCTCCGTTTTGTTCGCATAGGTTAGCACTGAGAGTACATACACTGACTAAACCGAAAACTTTCCGTTTCCAGCACAAGCGGAGATTCCTGGATAAAATTTTCTGTCTTAGAAAAATGTTCCATGCTTCTGTTATTTCCTCTACTGATCTCAAAAATCAGGAACATCGTTAGAGAAATAAGCTGTTTACGATAGACCTAGTTTTACACTTCATGCAGATTGCGCCCATTGACTTCAATAGGTCGAATGATCACTATCTTTGTTAATTGGGACCTGAGAATTCTTCGAGTTCTTTTCAAATCCAACCTTGACGATTGCGTCACTCAACTCTTGGGTTCTTCGTGGAGTTCTTATGGCGGTCTTAAAAGGAACAGAATATCGTTCATAAACTGCAGGTTGCTTAAGTGCTGCCCGTTTACATTCTTCCCCGGAAAGTATCAATGTTTGAAAAGCTTCCTCTAGGGCTGCTAAATTCCTCCTGTCAATAATTTTTGTGATATTGAGTCATCCATCTGGACGCCTCTTCGGTTCTGAACTTATATTTACTACATTGAAGCGTCACACTAGCAGCTTCATTCTTATAAATCACTGCAATCAGGTTTACGTATCTCTTTTAGATTTCCTGACTCCTCAAAATACCTGAACGCAAGGCAGTTAGGAAACCTGTCTCATATAATTGTTGTACCACCTGATCATCGTCCATTCCATTAAATCAACTGATTAATGATGCTTGCTTCTTCTTTGGTTGTGCAGCAGCGAGTTTTTGAAGTCTGTTTGTCGGTACCTTCATGACGATCTTGTAGATAATTGGCAACAAACTTATTTATCAGTGGTTGTTCAACTCTTCAATGTCTCCCTTGTTGTGGAACAGCTTAGTCCATGCGGTAATATAATCGTCTGAAATTTCAGTTCCTTCAGACAGCCTAAAGACAAACGCTATACTAGCTTGATCAATGCTTCACCTCCTGATTCAACTGGTTCAACCGTAATTTCGTCTTCTCCATGAGTCCTTCCTTACTTCGCCTCTTCATTGCATGTCACATTTCTTACTGCAAGACACAATGAATTTCGCCGGCTTCTTTTGTATCATCGGGTTCCTTATCATAATCTATGTTGCTGCCTTCACCAATGCACAGTTTTTCATAAAAATCTTTATCCCTCCAAAATTTCTTGCTTGTCCTTGATGATAGTGCCTTCTTCTGCTATGAAAGCTAGAATTTCTTATTTCTTGACCATCGGTATCTGATTTAATTTTTTCGTGCTTCGGCTCTTTTCAATATTTTCATTACTAATCTGCAGCTAAATGCTCAGATGTTGTTTTACATTCATTTTTTAAGGTCTTACAAACTTTAACGTATTCAATCTTTGATTTATTCAAGAGCTCCTTTGTTTGCTTCGTGATTTTTTGTTTCATTTTTCATTTCGTAATTCTTGTTGTGGGGATGTATTTTTTCACGTCTCTGGAACTGTCTTCGCTATATCCTGATGCATTACTACAGTTTTTGCTACTTTTCCTGCTTCTCCTTCTCCTTCTTATTCTTCTTCCATTCCGTGCAGGTCGTCAACTTGGTTGAATTGAAAAAGTAGAAGGTTCTTCTTCAGTATTACCACGTCGAGTATCTTGTGTCTAGTTCTCAGGTCATTTTAAATTTTGTTCACGCAATATAATCTTGAATAGAGGACTAAATTAAAAAGTGCATGTTTTATTAAGGTGATTAATCAATTTGATATTCAAGACTCCTATAGGCATAGTAGTATGCATGAGAAACATTTTCATCACTTTGGCAATAAACCTGGATGGCGGTTAACAGAAGAACTGTCGTCCCGTGTGATATGCAGATATGAATTCTTTCTATCTGAAAAATTTTCTTATGTAAGCAACTTTTCTGGTCTAATGACAAACTTTTATTGGCATTATATATACTACTGTACTGACAATTTAGAAACAGGAAAGGAAATGATTGCCAGAACACAGCCGAAGAGTCACGTTCACTTGCACTGTAATATATAACATTTACTATAAACAACGAGCATTTAGCATAAATAGCATTAAATGCGGTTTATGCATAAATAACGCCAACAACTTGGCCAATTACATGATTTAGCAGTACCGACATTTCGACCCGTGTCTTGAGGATTTTCCTCAAGGTAAAGAGGCTAGCTGACATTGGTAGTCTCTCTTTTTGTCGTTTACAGCGGCTGGTACGTTTTCAGCCAGAAGGCGAGCTTTCGGTCATGCTAACGGGAACGTAGCTGTTCGCCACCAGAACTAAAGGTTCCTCCAATCCGCGAAGAGTTCACGTCCTTCGTCAGGACGAGCTTGTCGCAGGGCTGGGTGAATAATGAACCTGTTCATCTACTGTCCACCTGTTCATCTGCTTTCAAGAAGCGATTACACTCTGTCCATCGGGCGAGGGATGTTTTCTCAGTGTCGCGTGCTGCAAAGTTCCGAAGGTTCGTTGATTTGGCTTGGGGAGTGACTTTGGTTTTTTCCCGGGTTTTTCGTTATCACATGCCGCCCACGCTCTTACGCGACCATCCATTTTCTCCAGCCTCACAAGTAGATCTTTATCCTTTGAGTGATGGTCTGCCATGTTTCTCCAATGTAATGCTTCCCTCAGTTACACAGTAATTTGTAACTCCAGTCTAGAGAGTTGTTATTCTCAGAATAATGCATTGAGTTTGTTAGAACTTTCATGCATATGTTTGAAATTCTTACTGTTAAGTAGAATTTTTAACTTTTCATCTTCATCTTCCTTGACTGCTTCTCCTTTCGGGTCACCGAGTTTCTAACTTTTCAATAAAGTTATTTTGTTATTTAGAATATTATTTTAACATTCTTGATGTTAGAAGGTAATTTCAAGTCCATTGTTTAACGGCCTTAACTGAGTAGTTATTGCTATAAGAAGGGGTCAATTTAATATTTTGTATATCTTCCTTGAAAATTCATTA